ACGCACGCACGCACGCACGCACGCACGCACGCACGCACGCACGCACACACGCACGTACACACATTGATATATGGGTGAAATAATCTTGAACGTGACGTTAAATCCCATTCTATTCGTCAGGATTAATTTATTTTCAAGATAGTGTTTTGGAGGCTGTTGTTCTTTCCATTTTTATGGCATGAGAGATTTGAGGTTAGTATTACTTCTCCAGAATACGTCATACACATGTGAGGTAGGAGCTTTATTTTCAGAATGGGACCCGTGGAGATCCGGGGTAGAATAGGTCTTCAGAAACCCATGCTTGCCATAAAAGGCAACTATGCTTGTCGCAAGAGGCGACTAATGGGATCGGGTGGTCAGACTCGCTGACTTGGTTGATGCATGTGATCGATCCCAATTGCGTGGATCGATGCTCATGATATCAATTACTGGATTGTCTGGTCCAGACACGATTATTTTCAGACCGCCGTCATATAGCTTGAATAGTGCGTGCGGCGTTAAACAACAAACCAAAAGCAAACATTTTCAGAATGCACATACACATTTGAGGTAGGTGAGCTACAGGCCCTCAGCTTTATAATGCCATGTGACATATGCACGACACCTTATCTGTAAAGTAATTTAACGTATCATACTATGAAACATATTTGCAGTCGACAACTCAGTTATCTAACATTGATATATTCAAATTTTCCGTAAGCGTTAAATAAAACTGATCAGTAGTTTTTTTTCCCCCGATACATGAATCGTAGTAGACATTCATAGCAACACAAGTATTTCATCTACTTTCACTTTTTAACGACCACTGTTTGATATGACCGTGACTGGACTCTCTGTGGGTTACATTTACATACAGTTGCACCAGTGCTGGTGTAAAACATATCGCATATCAGCTTTTGTTGTTAAGTCGATTTGTCTCCACCGTAAAACGTTTGTGCCGAAGTACACAGTCATGATTTCAAGCGGGACTTTTTTTCCATAATGTTATTATTTAAATCTGTTAGATACGTTTTAGCATGGAGAACTTTCTTTAGTATTTATCGACACCATTTTTTCATCATATTTTAAATATTTTATATCCACATTGTTGACATTAAAACAAAAAAAATCAAACTTCATCTTTTGCAAGTGTTTTTTAAGCTCACGCTAGCACCTCCCCCCCCCCCCCCCCCCCCCCCCCTCCCCCGAAATAAATAAATAAATAAATAGTTAAATAAATACATAAAATTTATAAATCACTTCAATATTTTGAACTTAAATGATCTGATATTGATATTGCGGATATTGGTATTGAAAATATGTTTATATTTAGATGACTCATATTTAAGAAATTGGCAGAAATGAAAAACTACCATATAACCATAAGGCGTGTTCTTACTGTAAATTACATAAGGGAAATATCATTGAAGATAAAGTTTATGCTTTACTTTTCTGTGAAGACAACACCCCTGTGAGAAATAAATACCCGAACAACTATACAAGTAACCCTACTGCACGCCACATCTTCACAAACTTACAAACATGATATTATTTACAATGTATGATTGAATATAATCATAAAAAAAAAATGTCAGACTTTTCTAATTTGAGTCAGATGTTTGTCAGGCAAAGTAAACTTTTGTGTGATTGTATTATGGGCCACTCGCCTTATAGTATCTATTCATATCAACACGCGACAGTTTTCTTTATTTCTTTGAAGAACATATCCAAGTAGTAACTTTGGGCGTCATGAAATACAGAAGTACCTCCTTTGAACAGAGTAAGCAGATTAGGTTAAGTTTTGTCTTTTGTTTCGTTCATGTAACTGTTCTGACATCCACGGGTTTACATTGGATCTATATATTTCTGAGCCCAGGGGATTCTGAGTAATATTTATGGTGGATACCAGGCTAGCTACTCAAAGCACTTTTCATTCGATTTCCAAGATATTTATCATTGCACGTGTTACAGAATAACTGATAAAAGTCACTCACTGACACTCTAAACCTCAATTTAATTATTCGAAAAACTATCGTTTTGTACGTCCCACATGACTCAAGTTATTTGCCTTCATTCTCGAATTATATGCGTTATGGGCCATAGGGTGACAATACAAAAACGATACAGACTTCCTGGTACACAAAGCAATATGTTGCGTCCAGCAAGGCCTTTCAATATTCAGGTTAACACTATAACTGAGGCATTGATCACCATGCCATGATCTGAATGTCACCAACTTAAACCAAGGGTGAGTGTTTGTCGGAGAGGCAGATACGACCACACCAAGGTAAACATAACAACTCATATATCTCCCCAGTCTTTCTCAAAATTAGAAACGTAAATCAAGAATTTGATTCGGGGGACCAGTCGGGATTGAAATCGAAAACCGATCTCTTTCTTTATATCTGTTGGGTTTTAAAAGGTGTGGCAAATGATTTAAAGAAAGTGGGCCTTCTACTGCAAGAGATGTTTTCTAACTGAAAACAAAAAACAGCAATATTCCAGCTATAACACGACGCCTTGTTAACTACCTAGTCTGGACAAACCAGTGATTAATATTAAGCTTGTTATTCTACATCAAACTGAATTGTTCATTTTTGTTAATAATTACATTTAAAAGCAACAATAATTATCAATATATACCTCAGAAAATTCTGCATAAATATTGCTTGCTAATATATCAGTTAATGTCGAAAACGAAGAAAAAATGATGTAGGCTGTAAAAAGTATTTGCCAATCCAACTTTATCGGCTCACTGTTCTTATACATGTAAGGCCACTTTTATTTACCCCGAGGGCCCTTCCTCAAAGCTATCGTTGCCCTAAGCTGATCGCAACTCCCCTACTTTAACATAGACGTGTGACTTTCGTAGCGTTTCGATCGCTTCCGTAGCACAAGAAGCTGTCGATGATGCATATGTCGTGCATATACTCGTGCATATCATTTGTCTTCAATCACAATCACTGTAAGATGATTGTCAAATTAATGTGAGTGTGAGTTTATTAAAGTTTAGTGGTAATTAATGCATATCAAGTTGAAATCAGGTGTGTCACATGGCCGTACTCTTGTTGTTTTACCTTAAAGTATATAGACACTGATGATAAGAACATAATTTTAGATATAATGAACTGATCTTTATATTTTCATGAATATGTCCCTCCTTTTTCGTCATATGAACAGTTTCATCAACGTTATGCTGCATTAAATCACAACTCTTGCGGCTTCGATTATAAATGTGTTTTTATTTCATTTTTCACAACAAAATAAACGTGTTGTTACATTGATTTTGAAAGAAACATGTTTGATCAGATCTTCATTATGATTCATGTACATATAAAAGAACTAACATATCGAGAAAAATAATTTATCCTTTAAAAATCATTACGGTTAAATATCGTTAAACTCGAACTACATTATGAATCTGTGCTTCGTTTAGGACGATGTAAACGTATGGCCCAGGTAGAATACATCTCTGCTTTTCCCGAAAAACGGAAACCTCGATAATTTCGTTATAGCCAGGAATTCGAGTTAACGAGGCCACACCGTGACACATGTGCAGTATGCTCAAGGTAACTCGAACCATCACGAAGCTTGTCGAAGGCTTAGTCAGGCCTATTGATAAGATTTAAAAAAATACATCAAACTCAAGGTAACTCGAACCGTCACGAAGCTTGTCGAAGGCTTAGTCAGATCAGGCCTATTGATAAGATTTTAAAAAATACATCAAACTCAAGGTAACTCGAACCGTTACGAAGCTTGTCGAAGGCTCAGTCAGGCCTTTTGATAAGATTTAAAAAATACACCAAACTCAAGGTAACTCGAACCGTCACGATTCTACATTATGAATCTGTGCTTCGTGTAGGACGATATTAACGTATGGCCCAGGTAGAATACATCTCTGCTTTTCCCGAAAAACGGAAACCTCGATAATTTCGTTATAGCCAGGAATTCGAGTTAACGAGGCCACACCGTGACACATGTGCAGTATGCTCAAGGTAACTCGAACCGTCACGAAGCTTGTCGAAGGCTTAGTCAGGCCTATTGATAAGATTTAAAAAATACTCAAACTCAAAGTAACTCGAACCGTCACGAAGCTTGTCGAAGGAATAGTCAGGCCTATTGATAAGATTTAAAAAATACAACAAAATCAAGGTAACTCGAACCGTCACGAAGCTTGTCCAAGGCTAAGTCAGGCCTATTGAGAAGATTTAAAAAATACATCAAACTCAAGGTAACTCGAACCGTCACGATTCTTGTCGAAGGCTTAGTGAGGCCTATTGATAAGATTTAAAAAAATACATCAAACTGAAGGTAACTCGAACCGTCACGAAGCTTGTCGAAGGCCCAGTCAGGCCGATTGATAAGATTTAAAAAATACACCAAACTCAAGGTAACTCGAACCGTCACAATTCTTGTCGAAGGCTTACTCAGGCCTATTGATAAGATTTAAAAAAGACATCATTTCTTTATTCCGGATTTTTATGGCCGATCAGAGGAGCCCAGAATAATGAGGAGATAATGAATACTACAGGATACTACAAGAAGTATTCGTGGTACCCGTACATGTAGTAATTACATATTTACACACTTTAAACGAATTGATTAGTTCGGTCAGTGACCCAGTGTGGACTTTATCACAAATATATTATGTTGTCCATGTTCCTCACTGCCAGGAATTCCGTTTTCTTAGGTATTGGATACTACTTTACGTTTATGCTCTCAAGAATACTCAGTGAGATCCACAGCAGAGCAGTTCTGGATAAGAATAACTTCCGGATTTACAAATCATCGGAATGGAGACATATCCTTTTGAATATATGTACATGTTCCTTCCAGAATCGGGGTTCCCGGTTAAACGGGTTCCGGATTGACGTGGTTTCACTGTAGTAGAATCCTTGCAATGGCCAGCCGATTAATTCCGGTGCCTTGTAGCTTGTGATGCTTCGACTCGTCACCATGTGGCTGAAATATTGCCGATGTGACGTTGAATATTAACTTACTCACTCACTGTGATGCTTCAACGCCATTACAAAGACGTGCACGTCATTCTGAAGACACACAACAGGCAGGCAATCTGGAGAGCGACCGACATCATCAGTGAGGTGGCACCGGCCTTTGGTCCATTGCAGAAGTCTGTTTGGCAGGTGGTGACACAGGTCATGTATCCGCGAGTGTCGTAGGCACACGTGCTGAAGTTGTTGTGCTCAATGCCTTGCAGCATGGACAAGTTTCCGAACGAGAACGTCTCCCCGTCAGAGCAGTCCCGGATGTAGCTAAGAATGTCCGACGTCTCTGAAAAGATGGAGATAATGTTTTGACACCTGGAATCATCACTATTTGATTGGGGCGGTCGGGTAGCCTAGTGGCTAAAGCGTTCGCTCGTCACGCCGAAGACCCGGGTTCGATTCCCGACATTGGTACAACGTGTGAAGCCCATTTGTGGTGTCCCCCGCTTTGATATTGCTGGAATATTGCTAAAAGCGGCCTAAAACCATACTCACTCACTCACTACTTGATTGTGATTCATAAACACATGCTTTTAATATAGTCGGAATCTTACAACAGACTCTTCTTTCTGCAGAGATTTTCTATGCTTATGGAAATGGTTTTATCGCTTGTATGCACAAAATTTGACATATCAAGTTCAGAACAGGTACCCCTTATTGTGGTCAAACTTATCTAATTATATAAAAAAACCAAAACGATGGTATTAAAACTATTTACCGGAGGTAGAGGCGGGGAAATCGATGTTTCCTGTCTTTTTGGGTCCATTGAAAGCCTAACGTAGTATATCACCTTCTGACCATAGTAGGGCTTCAGTGAAATGACAGTAAACCCGTACTGACGATCCAATGACGAGCAATGTATCATTGGTGATTACAGGAACGTCTCTTGTGCGTGTTCGCGGTTCTGTTCAGTTTAGTCAATCTCCTTTCCTTTTCTGTTGTATTGATGAACTAACTAATGCCACACAACATTGGTTAGAAACAGATTTGATCACGTTTTCAACCTACTATTGCTTAAGGCGTTTTAGGACGTATCAGGATCTGCTAATCTAAACCGGATTGTTAGCCGTTTTCTCTCAGGGCCATATCAGGGGCTACCCTCATGCATTAAGCTGATACTGTGTTATAACTGTATGTTGTAGAATAGGTCTTCAGCAACCCAATGCTTGCCGTAAAAGGCGACTATGTTTGTCGTAAGAGGTGACTAACGGGATCGGGTGGTCAGGCACGCTGACTTGGTTGATGCATGTCATCGTATCCCAATTGCGTGGATCGATGCACATGATGTCAATGACTGGATTGTCTGGCCCAAACTCTATTATTTACAGACCGCCGTAACATAGCTGGAATATTGCTGAGTGCGGCGTAAAACAACAAACCAGACTTCAACAGCAACAAATCAGCGGTAACCACCTTAAGATGTGTATTACCATACATGTGAACGTACAGGAAGATGCACATGCAGTTTAACAAAACATATAATCTTTTCGAGTAGTGAGAGGATATAATTTGATGCTGTCTACGTGGATGGCAATATTCCATCCATTTGACTATGGCAGGTGAATTATCCAGTCCGGATCGATGAAACTAACCAGTGACGACGTTGGTAGCATAATCATCGATGCGCAGCGTTGAGTATACGATGACACCCTGTTGATACTAGAGGCGATGTGGTAGCCCAATGGTTACAACGTTCACTCGGCACGCCGCAGGCCCGAATTCGATACCCTACATGTTATGATATAGCTGGAATGTTCCTGAATGTGGTATAAAACCCAACTCGAGTATGGTTTTAGGCCGTTTTTAGCCATATGCTAGCAAAAAAACGGCGGGGGACATTAGAAATGGGCTTCACACATTGTATCCATGTGGTGAATCGAACCCTGGTCTTTGGCGTGACGAGCGAACACTTTAACCAAAGGGTTACCCGACCGCCCCACTCACTCACTCAGGACCATTTCTCCTCGATTTCCATATTTGAGCATGAATATTCGCGTATTACTGTCGATGTTTCGTAAACATTTGTAATATTTTTTTAGTTTTACATAATTCATATTTTTGCACGACTGTGTACTCATTTATGTCGGGGTGTTAAGTAAAGGGGTCCAAAAGGGGCCTGAAGATTCAACTATATTGCTGCCAGACAAAACACAACTGCAGATGTCCTGAGACGAGGATGTATACTGTAAATCTTAAAATTAACGCGAGCGTGATTAAAATGCGAAAAATACGAGTTATTGATATATCTGTGTGAGTTTGTTTAAACGACCTTTTCAACAATATTTCAGTTATTAGACGGCGTGTCAGCTTTTTGTTTGAGTAAATCTGAACTGATGCAGGCCTCAGACGTTTATCACTTTAGGAAAACCCACGAGCACGAATAATGATGATGAACGTAGAAACATGATAACTGCGAGCCGGTATTACCCACTGCCATAGGTTTATGGACGACCGAGTCGCCCGTGTTCCCTGATGTTGATGTGGATGGCAATGACCAAGTACTCAACTTACGTGCAGCCTCAACAGTTTCGATCATACACACATTCCTAGAGTTGGGACACTTCTTGATGTAGGGCAGGGTCCTTCCCTCAGAGTCTGTATCTAGATCTACTACATGTACTTCTTCATCTGGACTGGTGTTATTTAAAATGTCGTTGGCCGATTTTACCATCGTCTTGGTATCCGTTTTACAGGATCCTTCTGAGCCTGTGCTGCCACATTGGTAGCAGTACAAGCAAGCTAAAAAAGAAATGGTTTGACGTGTAATGCACATTATTCATTTGTAACTAATGTTAACGATGTATGATGCAATTTCCTATTTTGACTTGTGCCACTTGTTCAGGTTTATTTGTTTGTTTGTTTAACGCCGCACTCAGCAATATTACAGAAAATGACGGCGGTCTGAAAATAATCGAGCCTGGACCAGACAATCCAGTGATTGACATCATGAGCATCGATCCACACAGTTAGGATCGATGACATGCATGAACCTAGTCAGCGAGCCTGACCACCCAATTCCTTTACTCACCTCTTTCGACAAGCATAGTCCGCTTTTACAGCAAGCATGGGTTGCTGAAGACCTATTATTCTACCCCCGAATCATCACGGGTCACTAGTTCAGCTGAACAATTGCCTTGCCGTAAGTGTGTTTGAGACGTGTGCCACCGGTGGGGCCGGATACCCTCACCTTTTCGCGAACATTTAGTGTCATCTCTATTTGACATAGTCGGAATCGTACAATTGACTCTTCTTTTATCAGATATTTCTTACGAAAACAAAAGGGTTTTGTTGAGGGTTGTGTGTGTTCCAAATGGATATTTTGAATATTCCCGAGACTGAAATTACTGAATGCATTTATATTATAAGTTGTCCACCGGTGTTTAAATTTATTTTTCATTGCCGGTATCTTGTGAGATGGAAACAAAGGAGAACCCAGAATTCAATAACATGCTTCTTACACCAGACACCAAATGTCATAACGTTGCGATATATACGGGGATGGTCCTTTCATTCGGTTTAAACACACCTGCAACTTGCGATATGTCCAAAGTAATCTGTACACGAGTTAGGACGATAGGCGCGCACTGCTAAATCACTGATGCCTTGAAACTCACACCACCAAAAATAAGCAGCACTTTGTAAATATCAGCTATGTAAGTTTATTTGTTATATATTATGATTTCCTTGTGATGAGCTCCTGTAAACTGTGAAGGATCTCACATCTTGCAAAACCGTAGACCTATCAACCAGGAAAAAGAATAACATTTTGTCGGCATGGACACATGTCAAACGCATGTCAAATATTATTATTGCAATCTCATTGAAACCAGGCCTTTTACGCCGACACGATGTCTCCCTGCTTCAAGATCTGAGGATATATGTACCATAACGACGGAAAATACTTCAACAAGTGTGAATGCTATTGCAGACATTATTAATTTTACAATCAGAACAGAGATACATAAGGTCTGCTTGTAGTCTAAAAGAACGCTATTGTTTCTGCCTGCGAATAGGGAGCACGGATGGCCCAGTCGATTCAGGCGCCGCGATTCGCTATGCGGAGTTGCGTCCCTTGGGCACGCCAGAAACCTAAGGTTGTGGGTTCGAATCCCGGTTCGCCCCGATTATGTTTATAGGTTTGTCAGCATCCTACCCGTGTTCGTGAGTTTCATCGAAGTGGTAAACTTCTGAGACCTGCATCACTTCGGGCTTTCCTTCAACATTAAGCTGACACGCCGTGATATAACTGGAATACTGTTAAAAGCGGCGTTAAACCCAACTCACTCACTCTGCCTGCGAATGACGTCAAGTATTTGTTACACAACACTGAGAGAATACGCTTGTTTTCTTTTATCATTGATAATGTATTCATTAGTATGCGTATTAGTGCCACATTATAAAAAATATCATCTACGTACATGATACTTACATTGTACTTCTACGTAGAAGATACTTTCATCTACGAATATGATATTATGATCAACGGAGAAGAAGTATCATATACTAATGAAGTATCGAATTTACAATATTTTCTCTAGTAATCGACAATTAATTCATAGGTAACATGTCATCCACCTATACATACGTTTTCTTTACCATGCCATCTGTTGTCCGCCATTTTACATGTCCAAAGTTTCAAAGACAGGTCCGACCCTGTGTTAATTTTTGTCGTCAAAATAACAAAGACAGCTTCGAGATAAGGCTCAGATAGCTTTGTATTCGCTACGACACTTTTATAACAATTTTAGCGCTACAACAGCTTCATGAATAGGACGCCGGAATGAAACCATTCTCCTAAGTCGATTAATAATAACACATTGATTACTAACCGGGGTTTCCAGTCTAACGGGGTCAGGAATATAGGGATTTCACAAGAATACTATACGTTAGACAAGTTGATATAAGCAAGTGTGATCACATTAAAGGTCATCTGTTCTCAAATGATCACACGAATTGGTATTGGAAGATCCCCAAGGGAGTATATTAACATTTAATCCTGACACCATTAATCCAACATCATGTATAAATAAATAACATTACCAGTTACAATTATTCGTTATCCCGGAGATTCGTTGCTCCTCCGTTGTCCACATTAACGGGGGTTCAGTGTAAACTAATGCAAATATATACATCGTCAACGCCAGAAAATAAACATTCTCGATCATCCTCCGAAACAGATTCCACTGAGCGTAAGAGTGATGACACAATGTGTGCGCGAGAAGGGTTAACATGTCCTACCCTACCGGTAACTGAACCCTGACTTGGCAGACATAAAGTGAGACGACCGATTATTGACAATGTTACGTCATGTCAATCGCCGAATGCTTTTCCCACAGTCGATCAAACATGACAAGAAATCTTTTGAAAATATATACTGAAAAGAATAAAGAATACCGGATACCTTCCTCCACATTCCTTAGTAACAGTTTCTAAGTGTGTTTTAGTTGCCATTTTTATCCGCCTCGCTAAAGTAACATGGGGCTTTGGGGGTTGAAACATACTTTCGCAAGGAAATATCATTTTTAGTTTCAAAGTCAATAGAAAATCCAACGTGTTTGTTGTGTTGCCGATACATGTCACTGATAAGCATGCATTACGCCATTATAGAACTTGGGGCGGTCGGGTAGCCTAGTGGTTAAAGCGTTCGCTCGTCACGCCGAAGACCCGGGTTCGATTCCCGACATGGGTACAATGTGTGAAGCCCATTTGTGGTGTCCCCCGCCGTGATATTGCTGAAATATTGCTTAAAGCGCCGTAAAACCATACTCACTCACCCTATTTTTCTTTGTTGATGTCCAATTTTTGATGTTGACGAATTGCCCTGAGGTTCAATTTCGGGGTTAAATCATATTCTGTATGGGGTATCTTCCTGCTTATGTTGAGCTTCGTCGCCCAATTTAAAAAAAAATAGTCAAGCTGTCTCGTGCTGCTCTAAGAATGGCATGAAACAAACATGGCGTATGGGTATCCGGTATTACCTACATGTACCTATATACTTAGTTATAACCCAGCCTTGGTATTATCCAATTATTTTTCTATATACCAATGACATAGAAACTATTTCGTTAAAATTAAATAACTTGATGAAGTTACCTGCAACTGGCAACAGAAATAGCAGGATGAAATAGGACACATGAGATCTCCTTGTAGCCCCCATAGCACTGAGTGTGGCGAACACCCTATTTCCAGTTGACTGTGAGGTAGTGTTAGTACTGTTTTATGCCCGCTGATAACGTTAGTCCAACCCGGAGATGTGGGGATTTACAGCGTGGTTGTTGTCGACGTCTAAGAGATAGGCTTCAGTGGTAGCGTGCACTGAGTGGTGGCCTTATTTCTTTATCAGCAGGTGCTGTCATACAATAATTTATTCGCTCACCTAACAAGAAGAAAGAACCGATTCATACATGCAGTTACTGGTTTAAAATTACAACTTTGTTCTTATTATATGACGATTTGTTTTGACGTCACTGTGAAATGTTTTTATGATTATATTACACATCGTGACGTCAAAACAAAAACGTATGGCTTGATGTGATTAGTTACATAAAATCAATATTACCTTCTTGCATATTACCTTTGCCGAAGTAACCCAGTGCCATTGGTAGTGATATTCTGCATTCGTCCTTATTCGTTTTATTCGAGATAGTGCCCTGCTTTTAATGTCTGAGTTTGATTATTTCGTTCCACATAAAATGACAAGCAGATTAGAGGCCAAAACACATTAATTGCAAACAAAACTGGAAACTAAAAAAAACCCAGTTATTTTTAGTGTACAAATCATGAATATATATTAAAACATTGACCATATATTACGCGAACACCATTATCTCTATTTGATAGTGATTCATAAACACATGCTTATGATATAGTCGGAATTGTACAGTGGACTCAGATGATTATGGAAGGGATTGTGTTGCCTTTTCTGTTTATTTAGGGGCCGACCATTTGATATTCTGGAGGAGAAGTGTCCCCCGAAACGTCCTGAAACAAATACGTATGCTTCATATTGTTGGAAAAAAAGAAATTTTCTGCCACAAAAATGACATTGTTTCAATGTGGATTTAAAAAGAATATATTTTCGCTCATATTTTTTTATTAAGAAAATATCTGTAACTGCAAAACTATCGGGTCTGAATGCAACATTCTTCTTTGGTTCACTGTACTCTCAAGGGAATCGCCACCTCCAATTACAGTTTCCTATCACAGTCATGCTACGTGTGTATGACCCATTATCGACTCGATAATTCGAAAAAGTCAATACGACCTAAATCAATATGCGCAGAAATAGACGGGCACTTGCGAACATAAAAAATATAAAGTTAACGTTATCTCATGTGCGATATCGTCTACACACGAGCCGGCGAAAGGTCAACCAGAGAAGGAAGTGCACTGGTTAACTTCGCTACAGTGTAGAGCTCTTCTGTGAACATGGCTTGCTTATCTTTATGGCAGTTCCATTGTCCGAACTGACATGATTTAACATGTACATACTTATATAGTATTATAGGATTTTGTATATATACGTTTTGTGGAAATATATGACTACTTTTTGTATTAAATCGGTCACGTGAGTAAAAACTAAAGCATGTTTTATTAATTTTACGGAACTACAAAAATAGTAAAAAGTTTTGAATATGATTAAATGTTTTAATCGCCGTTGGCACCCGTAACAGACACATGCAAGGACAAATCACTTGTTCACTTGAAAATGAACCCTGGGGAAAATATGGTACAAAAATGTCAAAATAGGGAAATCGAATCAAGTGATTGCTCTAATGAGCATCGATCCACGCAATTGGGATACGATGACATGCATTAACATGCATGCGAGCCTGACCAACCGATTAGTGGCGTCATACAACAAGCATAGTCGCTTCTTGGGTTGCTGAAGACCTATTCAACTCCGGATCTTCACGGATCTGTTTGAATGAGTGATTGGCATGATTGAATAATGTGACAGCGACCCGACAGCGAATCAATGTTCACGTCATCATCCACTGGTTTGACTCTTCCAGACTTGATATTATTTCTGACGGCGGTGTAAAACAACACTTACGTGTACTAATAAATTTGACATTGGTTCGGCCACATTAAAAGAGGATACAAATGTGTCAGTATGTCAAAATGTGGTCCTTAACAATAGCTTTCTCTCCTGTCAGCCTTGTGATACAAAGGATTTGAAACAATCACAACATGGCAACCATGCCTAGAAATACCTTCTAGTGGAGGAACACTGACTCTTAAAATATACGTGCATACATGTAGCCTTGTTACCTTGTTGAACATTTCTGAACGAGTCATAATGTCATAAGCTAAACAGATGACATTTATGATGCTCCCCCAGACTGTTGACAAGGGTATTGTCTAGAACGCCACAGAGATGGGGGTCTTCCTTACAACGGGGCTCGAGATATTTTGGGTTGATGATGTTGTATATCAGTTTGGAGACGACCATTATGAACAGGTTAACATCATTCTTAAATTGAAGTGAAAGTGATTGAGCATTATACAAGTACCTTGCTATCTTACACTTGTAAAACAGGTGGATCAGGTGTGCGGAAATCTGGTTACCGAGTCTTTATCTCTTCAGCCGGGGCCGTCGGGTAGCCTAGTGGTTAAAACGTTAGCTCGTCACGCCGAAGACCCGGTTCGATTCCCGACATGGGTACAATGTGTGAAGCCGTGATATTGCTGGAATATTGCTAAAAGCGGCGTAAAACCATACTCACTCACTTACTCTCCTCAGCCATTCTAGTTTCGAATGTGTGTATGTGTGTGTGTGTGTGTGTGTGTGAGAGAGAGAGAGAGAGAGAGAGAGAGAGAGAGAGAGAGAGAGAGAGAGAGAGAGAGAGAGAGAGAGAGAGAGAGAGAGACCGGATCTTCGGCGTGGCGAACGAACACTTTAACCATAAGGCTACCCGACCGCCCCTAGGTTCGATTGAAAGTAGGTATCAGTCAATTGCGATCTCGCAGATTATGTCTGCAATCTGCATTACTTCACCAACATTAAGCTGGTACACCGCGATATAACAGAAATAGTGTTCAAAGCGGCGTCAGACCCTACTCTCTCACTTACTCTGATGAAGTAGGCATGACGTGATGTGGATATTGCATGACTTGTGGATGATGAGTGAAGAGAATTTATGGATGGGAGCATATATATATATAATATAGTCCTGATTTCCACTTGTCCATAACTATCAGCGCTAATTCACTGTAATTAAGTTTTGGCTTCCATTGTCTATTGTTCGCGCTAATCGCCTTTCTCTGCCTTATATCATTCATTCAACTGATGAAGGAGTAAGCATATACTCCGAAACGTTGTTCCTTATCGTAAGTTGAAATCCATAGACTCTCTTCCTTATTTGTATCACTATCTAATGCCTTTCAAAGACTTGATGACGATTCTTCCACAATCTGAGTGTAATTAATTGAGAAATAGATTCTTTAATACTGCTTCTTTGAATGAGTTAGAAGCGCCATAAAATGACAAAATGAACCTGAACGAGGTGAGGTGAGGTGAAATTGGGTTTAACGTCGCGTCCAAGATTATTGCACTTATATAGCGACGTGCATGCACGTGTATGTGTGTGTGTGGCTGCTTGTACTAGTCCGGACTGATGCCGATTTATAGTGCTAGCTCACTGAGATACCATGCCGCAGTTTAACATGAATACCCCACTCAGACACAGTATACTGACTCCGAGCCGACCAGTCCTTGTTTTAGCCCCTTAATGCCGAGCGCCAGACAGGGTAACAACAAGTACAATCTTTTAACGTCTTTTTGTATGACGCGGCCCGGGATCGAATCCTGGACCTTCCGCTCTCCGGGCGGACGCTCTACCACAAGACCACGGAGGCGGTCGAACCTGAACGAAATCAGCCACATGAGATCTTTACCAGTGTCCTTTTTCATCAATAATTTGTTGTGGTTTGAGGACGAGTACATCGCGATCTCGACCTGGGTTTTCAATTTTGATTTTACTACTTCAAAAGTCAAGAACGTGAGAAAAATACTTTAATATCATGTAAAATATCGCAATCTCTATAAAAGTCATAAAAGATGCGAAATGGCGAAAGTTATGTAATTCCACAGGTTCAGGTCATAAAGACAGCCCTTTACCCTTAAATCGTCCTTTCCAGCTGGGCCTGGAACCATATTCAGCTTTAACATGGAGCAGTACTTTTTTCTACTGGCGCCGATAATATGTGGTGTATATTATTAAATCAACCGGTTTACAGAAATGAGGTCGACAAATGTTACCATGCATGTAAAATGCTTGAATTTTATTGGTCAGTTGAGTTTTGCTAATTTTCCGTGTATGATATGCGGGTTAGGCGTATGCTCAGTTCTAATCCAACACTCTGAGTCGCAGCTTTGCATTGTGTTTTATAAAGATGGTACCGTGAGTTTGGGCATCGCGCCAGCTAGCTTAGACATCCATTTCAAGCTCTGATGAATCAAGAATTTAATAAATGACCGAAAAAATATGTTCATGAAAATATAAAATTGACAAACTTAACAATTACTCCAAAGAAAGCACATAAAAACTTACTTAAATTACTGCATATATAACAATTTATACCAGAATAGAGAAAAGGTCTTCAATGGGTTTGAATCCCGGTTCGTCCCGATATTTCTAGCTTTATCAGCACCACAACAGTGTGCTTCACCAAAGTGGCAAACGTCCGAGACCTGCATCACTTCGGGCTGTCCTCCCATATTAAGCTGACGCGCCGTGATATAACTGAAATGGTATTAAAAGCGGCGTTAAACCAGACTCAATCAGTCTTACCGATCTGAAATTCAAGCCCCGTACATCTAAGCGCATCGTGTAATGTATATTAACATTGACTTCAGATGTTTGCGATGTACAGAGCTTTAACTTAACACAGATTGTCGTCAGGCAATGTGGCGACAACCAACGCTTCGTATCCGTGTTTGTTTCAAAATTATAGTAAATGAGTGGGTATGGTTTTACGCCGCGTTGAGAAATATTCCAGCAACATCACGGCGGGGACCCCAGAAATGGGCTTCACAAATTGTACCCATGTCGGGAATCGAACCCGGATCTTCGGTGTGACAAGCGAACGCTTTAACCACTAGGCTACCCGACCGCCCCTATTATTGTGTGGCGGTGGGATCACCCAACAACTAATGTTGTTAAACCCTGACAAGAGTATTGGTACAGTATCACACACAGGATCATGCTATACATTTGAACTGTCTCAATTTTTTGGCTCAGGTTCGAATCCCAAATTCACCCCGATTATGATCCTT